TTGGGCCCAGCCTTGTCCCCTTCTTCCTCCGATTCAATCTTATCTGACGATGGGCCCCATATTTCCGTATTTGTCGCTTTATCACCCAAGGCCAGGGAAATCGGATTGAGCGACATATATTCCATGCGTGTTGGGTGCGGGCGGTGATACATGATAACCTGGACAGACAGATTTGCCTCTGGTGGGCAGAATATGCGAGGAGCTTTCGGGGATAAGATTGTAGTCACATCAAGGTGGGAAGGGTTGAAAGACGTCGGAGACTCGCGAGAGTTGGTCGAGCCGAGGACATGCATCTGAGAGCGTCCACATAGAGTGAATATGCGCACAATTGGGTGAGGGCTATTTCGAAAGAGAATGCCCGCCCGGAGGGCATTGTCAACATTCCGAGGCTATTCAATCACAAGGCCGATTAGCTTATATCGCACGAGTAGACTAGGCAATTGCAAACACATACCTCGACATCTTCCAGCACTGTGAGCACAAACAAATCAAGCTCCGAGTTCCGCCATCCGACAATCACACCCGGTGATGAGGATCGCGGGAGATCATATGGCCAGAATACCCGCAACAGTCCATCGCTCATGAGCATATTGTCATCCTCCACCTGAGTCTCAGAACGAACCTCGACGGCGCAATTGTTCGCGCGCAGAGACGCCGAGATTCACGTGGCGCGGATGCTACATGTCCCGTCAGCAAATACTCCTAAGCCAGCACCAAGCGCTTTATCTTTCGACTGCTGCCCAAAGCTTTGGTTGTTCCAGTGTTGCTCACCAATTGGCCCTCCTTAGACGCGAGATGATTGATCGGCAGGACGAGAAGGAAAAAGAAAACGGAGAGGAACAAAAATCCTTTCGCAGTTCGTGTCTAAATAAGAAAAATTAGCAACGTTGTAGATATAACGTGTGCTGGCACCAAGCTGATAAAGTCGCAAGCGGAGGGGGGGGCCAAGGAACGATGGCCGAGGGCCGGGGGAAGACATACCACGACACCGTGATCCCAGGCAAAGATTGCCAATTCGTATAGACGGGTAACAAGGTCCCACCTGGCGGTAATATAGCCCGCGACGAAGATCCCAAGTGTGAGGACGGAAAAGGGGTGCATGAATCGAGGTGGTTCAGGCCGTCCGCGTTTAAGTTGCGCGCATAGCTAGATGAGGCGGTCGAGGTTGGTTTAGAGGCACAACGATAGCACAGGTCCAGGATTAGAAATTTTGCTGTAAGCTTAAGCCTCAAAATCACGAATCGGAGACAATAAAAAAGAACGATCACTTGGATTTTGGAATAAAGTTGCTTCATCCCAATCCCGCGTCGATCGTCTAGACCGACCTACACGTGACTGGCCTCCGCATTAAGATGTTCGAAGTATAACGACAACCTATTGGCTACTTTACAGTGTAACTACATATACAAGAAGAACCCAGAAGAGATTATAGTAGAAGATATGATTCTAGTTCATCCTAAAATGTAAAAAATGAGTATACAACAATGCCTTTTTCAAACCCATGCCTTCCATGAACGCCAGATCCCATGAATAGCTCACATCTTTATAGAGCCTTGATACCCTGGAACACCTTATTTGCTTGCAATTTTTCATCAGCCTGAGCCAGATCACGCATGACTTGTCGCTTCTGCTCCGCCGTCATCTCTTTGCCCTCAGTTGCTGCCTTCCATTTCAGCAGCATTCCCTTGAGGAGCGCACTGCCCTCCTCCACCTCTTCCTGGGAATATTTGTCAAGCGAGGGCGCAGGAAGCTGTGCCTGCCCATTTTCAGTTGTCGATGTAAAATCTTCAAGCTCCTCAGCCTTCTGACGGGCCATGTTGACAACCTTATCCGGGAAGCGCACGAGCTCGGCGACATGAATACCGAAAGACTGATCACAGATTCCTGGCTCCACACGGTAGAGAAGAGTGACTTGACGCTTTTTCTTTTCCTCGGTTTCAGCTTCAGTCTCGCCTCCATTGCCATTTCCAATGAATGCCACGACGTGCAGGTTCTTAACAGCTTTTTGATAACGGTCTGCCAAGGCAGTGAGCTCATGGAAGTGAGTTGCGAACAGGCCAAAGCAGCGGATCTCGGTGACAATGTGTTCTGAGATAGCCCAAGCCAGGCCAAAGCCGTCGTACGTGCTAGTTCCACGGCCAAGTTCGTCGATGATGATCAGGGACTCCGAGGTGGCGGACTTGAGGATGTTGGATGTTTCAAGCATTTCCGCCATGAATGTCGATACACCCTTGAGCTGCGAGTCACTGGCTCCCACTCGAGCAAGGATGCAGTCGAAAATGGTCAGCTCGGCCTCGGTACAAGGAACGAAGCAGCCGGTCTGTGCCATGAGTGCAATCACACCGATCTGTCGGATGTATGTAGATTTACCACCCATGTTGGGACCAGTGATGATAAGGAAAGACGAGTCATCGCGAATCAAGGAAACATCATTCGTAATGAAGGAGATATCGTCCTGCATCTCCATGCAGGGATGCCGAGCTTCTTTGAGAACAGTGTTTCCAGTTCCCCGGGGGTGCATCTTTGGGCGAACGTATCCCGAAGGTGCGTGCATTGAAGCATGGGCAAAGCTCACAATGACATCGAGGTGTGCCAGTACACCGGCGAGTTGCTCCAACACCGGGCAATACGAAGCGGCAACGTTGACGACCTCGTGAACCAGACCAGTCTGAGTTCGGTTGTAGTTCGACGACAGTTGGTCATGCTCTCGGCGAAGGGACTGCATGTTCGATGTGGTGAAGTATACGCCGTTCTTCTGCGTCGAACACTCCTGGTACTCTTTTTTATTGCGAATGCAGCCCGCCTCATTTCGAGTGAGACGGAAGCACCAACCGTGCACACGATGATTCTCCATGAAGAGCTTTTTCTCCATGTCTTGATTCAAGTCCTTTGAAACTCGGCGGTGTTCCATATCCATGTCGTATCGTAGTTTGTCCAGCTTCTTCCTAATGACTCGCAAGCCGTCATCGAACTCGGGCTTGATAATGAATTCGTGGTTCTCCAGAGCAGCAAGATCCACCGTTGTTTCGACCATTTCCTCGAGCATGGCCAAGCTGTCAGAATAACCACGGAGCTTAGACGTGTATTCTGTCTCTAGAGGGGTCTGGTACTGCTCATCCATAACATCACTCAGCGCACTCACAAACCCAGGCAGACGAATGGCAACCTGGTATGCTCTGACGACATCTTCCAAGTTGGCCTGTTTCCGCTGGAAACGTTTAGCCAACCGGTAAAGATCCGGAATGGAACGCAAATGTTCCTCCTGCATAGTCTGACGGAGCTCAGTGTTAACAACAAATGCCTCCACCAGCTGCTGCCGTTGCTCAATAGCAGCCAGATCCATTAGAGGCTGCTTCAACCATTGGGCCAACAAACGACTACCCACAGGCGTCTTGCAGTGATTCAGCAAACCGAACAAGCTCATACTCTTAGCCCCGTCTCGTGGACCAGGCATAAGATTCAGCGCCCGAAGCGCCGAGGCATCGAGCTTCATATACTGCGACAGATCATGCTGGTAGAGCTGGTACTGGCCAAAGTTGGTAGGATCAGTCAAGACATTAAGGTACTTTATCAGCGCCGACGCAGACCCCATAGCCAGTTTCAGCTCCGTCTGAGGAAGCGTACCGGCAGACCGTTCATCCCTCAACAATCTCGTAAGATCCTGCTCGATGTCCTTAACACCGAAGTCGGCAACAGGCCGCTCAGAGATGGCAATCCCACAGCTATCCGCAATAGCCCTGATTTTCGCCAGCTCGACGTCTTTGCGAGCCACATCCATGGTCACAAGACACTCTTTCACACCGAGCTGGATAACCAACGACTCGAGATTGGAGTAGATATCGTTATCGAGGAATTCACTGACGCCCAGCTCGCGCACGCTCGCATCAGCAAAGCACACGCCGACGTTCCGGGCCTCTGCTGCGCGAGCGGAGATCTTCACTGCGAGAATAATGGGAGCAGAATCCATTGACAGCGCGCCCACGCTGCCGAGCTCTTCTTCCACGTCTTGCAGGTTACCGGGGCTGGCTTGCTTCGCCAGTTTCCAGTTGCTCTTGCCCGAGCCGGCCGAGGCGAAAATCTCGATGCGTTTGTTCAATCGGAAGAGGGCTTCGCGGAGGAAGTTTCGGAAGACTGTGACGCTCATTGTGACCGAGGGGAGGCCACCTGTTTCGCTGCGGCCTAGGTTGCGGAGTACGGAGGTTGTTTTGTAGACGGTGCGTGCGATAAATTCGGCATCGGCACCGTGCGAGGAGTACCAGTCACCTCGGTCGAATACGCGGATGGTCTCATTATTATCGGGTGTAGGGAGGCCACGGTAGAAGCCAATGAAGCCGACTTCGTCGTCGACCTGTGTGATTTCAGTTTTTGAGTTAGTGGATGCTGGGTTGGTGGGTTTAAGGAATCAATATCTCAATTCATACCTTCAAGTCAGGTCGGGAAGACATGATGTCGGGTGATGTGAAAAGAAATGCAGCAAAGGACAATGCAAATGCTGGTATCAAGGTGGTTTGGACGAGTCCAATTTGACGCGCTGAATTTACGTGGTCCGTGCACGCGTCGCGCGTTAAGTGCCCAGGATCTCCGGCTAGGGGTTAAAGAGGTTCGTTCATCAATCTCGGTTAATCCAATGTTATACATGGAAAATCCGGTTTGCATATTCTAAACCGTGTTTACGGCCTATATTTGAAATACTAAGACCAGGAAGAAATATCTATAAAAAAAGATTACATCTAGAAAGACATCTAGGAAGACATCTACGGAGTAGAAAAACTCAACACGGACGCGTAAGCCTACTATTCTTGTCAAATGTGTGCGTATTTATCTTCTGAGGTATCATAATGGCCTCTTGTGACACTTTCCAAGGTATATATTTTTGAACAGATTTAACCGGAGGAAAGGCGAAGGGCTATCATCGAAGTGCTCCCACGAATGAGTATATTAGAGATGTTATAGCTATTGTGGGTTTATTCTCAGAGCATGCTGCCTAGCCCATTCATTTCCTATGTCCGCCACCGGAAGGCTGGGTTGCGCCAATCCAAGTCCTGGATTTGCTTCTGCGACATTCCAGCCAGAGCCTGATCGATATCCGCCTTGTCGCGCTTTTTGTTGTCCCATTTCATCCACATCCACATCAACGCACCCAGGATCAGCATCAAGGACGACGTCGCCAGGTTCAATCCGTTTCCAATATGGTAGTTAGGGCCATCAAAGGGAAGGAACGACCAAGTAGAGATCAGTCCGCCGATATTTCCCAGCATGACATTGATGCCGATAGCACCAGAACGTGCCGTATCGGACACTACATTATTAGAGACATGCGCATTGCAGAGGGCACCGAAGACAAAGGCACCACTGGCTATGAGGAAGGTTGCACCGTAGCGCACCATAGAGTCCTTGCTAACCAGGAACATGATATAACCCACCATCATCAGAGGAGGACAGAGAACAAAGTAGATCATACGGCGGTCAAAAAACCCGCTCAGTAAGGGGAGGAGCACGGTAATAAATGCACCCACAACGTATGGAGGCACTGTATGCAGCTGCTGAGAGACAACACTGTTCTCCGGGTAGATAGTGCGCACGATGGTAGGGGCAAAGAACGCAAGACCCTGCACGGTAATGTTGTCGAGAAGGAAAATAAAGGCAGTTCCCAGCGTGACGGGGCTGAAAATTCCCCGTTTCATCTTCGCGATGTCCATCTTGTCCAAGACTTCAGTCGTAGACACACGCTCGGACTTAAGACGCGCAATCGCCAGGTCCTTCTCTTCCTGGCTCAGCCAGCGGGCCGTCTCAGGACGATCCGTCAGCGTGAAGAAGGCAATGAGGCCAAGAGCGATAGTGATGATGCCTTCAATTGCGAATATCATGCGCCAAGTCTTCAGACCACCGAAATGGTCGAGTTTCAGAATGGCTGAGGCCAACAGACCTCCGAACGCGCCTGCCAGCGGAGCCATGACAATGTAGAGCGAGATGCGGAAAGCTAGCTCACTGCGTCGATACCATCGCGACAGGTAATAAGCAATACCCGGCATCATTCCAGCCTCGAAAACCCCCAGCACGAATCGGACCCCCGATGCAGATTGAATATCGTGGACGAAGGCGGTCCCAAGGGAGCAAACACCGAAAAGTAGGGTGGTCAATGGAAGGAACCAGCCAGGGCCCATCCACTTGCAAATAATATTACATGGCACCTCAAAAATGATGTATGAAATATAGAAGACGGACAAGACCTTATTGTAATCATTGCCTTTTAGTTTCAGGTCTTTCTCGAAGCCCGCCAACTTGGCATTTCCTGATGTGCGACAAGGTGGTCAGTGACTTGGAAAAAGCAAAGGTGATCGCTCGAGTTGGCGAGGGGATAAGGGGTGTGATTGACATACCAATGTTTGCGCGGTCAATAAAACAGAACAGGTATAGCAGCGCCACGGTGGGCACGATATATAAGTCGATCTTCATTCGTAGTCGTCGCTCAGCTGAGTGGTCAAGCTCCACTAGTGCGCGGCCATACTGGTCTGTCGCAGCGTGTCCGCGTTCTGCTGCTATGTCCGTGGATTGCAGAACCATCTCCTCCTTGTGGGAATAGCCCTTCTCATCGGCCATGAGGGTAGCCGGAGCTAGATCTGGTGCCATATTACAACACCTCGCAGTTGGATCCAAAACAAAAGCAGTTGGATCCAGAATTTACAAGGCAGTGGGACAGTTAAGGAATGTTGAAGAATAATAGCCCCAAATACTGCAGATCCCCTGAATCAAACCGAAAGATCGAATATTTATGGATATCCTGGAGCTTACATGGTACATCCCGGTAGGCTTTGCCGAATATATGAACGGAAACTGCACTCGGCTGATCGCATGGATTGCCCAGACCCGGTAGGTGAATGCGGAAACGCGAGGGATAAGTCGTGCCAATAAAAGTTATAGCTGACTTGGCACCTCGTTCTTTGTTCCATGCTTATAGCCAATACCCTGGGGCTGTTTTCCTATTTCGTGGCTTGGCAGTTGGCGAGAACCTAGACTGGCTTATCTCATGGGCGTTATGTCAATCACATGCATGTTCGAGAACCGCACGTGATAGATATATATCAAATGTTGGGGAAATCCGGGGAGTGGATCGAGCTCTGTAGCTCGTTCCATGGGCTTACTGTCAAAATGCAAGGGGCCCAAGCATTTGGGTATCTCACGGAAGGGCTTGTCGGGAGTTATCCAACTCGGCACACCGATTTTATTGGTGCAAATATCAATGAAACGCCACTGAAGTTAGTACGACCTCGTACATATATCTTGGCGTGGAGCACCTCCACATTATGAGAAAACCTGGGGTAATATCAAACGAGTTAACATCATAGGTTGATGATAAGAAACTATAAAAAAGCATGGTCACTGACGTGCCCTAAGGCAAATGGACCCGTGCAGTCATCCTCAGGTCAACAGACTGTAGTCCCTCTGCGGTTTTATGTTTTCTTTCCACATATGATCTTATTTTCTCTTGTCTATAACATGCAATCACTTGGCATAATCTTTGGAGTAGGAAGGATCAAGATTTAATGCGCTGACTGAGAAGTAAAGGTGAGATCAAACTTCTCTTTCTGCTAGGGCGATACGACATTGCTCTTTATATTCACCAGAAACTGGGGCCATTACTCTGCCGTGATAAAGGTGGTCCAATTGATTGCTGGTGCAGCGGCCATGATTCCGTCAAAACCATCGAGGTATCTGTGCGAGCATAAGACCCTGCCGGCCGCCACTGGACCAGCCATTCCAGTATGAATAGGTGGGAGGAATTCTATAGAATGACGCTGTCAAGGCTTTACCAATAACAGCAAGTTCATGCAATACAAGAGATGCGAAGTTCTCTAGAACAGACTGTCCACCGAGCCATCTGCCCTCAAAGCCCAGTATTTATCTCGCTATCAGAGCTATATCCACCATCGGTAACACTGACTGCGTATCCTTGGGAAGCTCGGAGGGGTAACCCATCGGTGACGCCAGTTACCCATCCTCCGCCACTTGATGCTTGGAATATTCCGTTCCAGCCAGAGAGAGGAAGTCATGTCTCGACATTGATGGTATCGTTTTACCCGGAGTGGGAGTAGATATAAATGACTGTGATGTTGCAAGCATTGGCATCCTTGAGCTCCATAGGAATGGTATCCCAATTTTCCGAAATGGAAATAGAGTAGTTGCGGACTTGTATAGCTGTCAGGCTGAGCATATCTACCCCAGGCACAACAGAATAAGGAATTGCGCTTATAGAGCAGATTTGAGTGGAATTCGCAAGGGCTATTACCGGAATTGTAGGGCTCAGTCAACAATGTGTCCAAATTTAGCTGTTTGTTCCATTTTGTAGAATTTATATGTCATGTATACTATATCACACCTAGCTCTGTAAGAAGGACGAAATATCTGCACAATAAATTACATGGAATTAACCGAGAAGATATCAAAAAAGACTTGATAAGGCCACATGAGCCAACATTGAACTATTCTTGGAAGGTCAAATGTAACCATCTTAATATCAGTTTAGACAGCTCTACGGTGGCCTCTGACTTCATTAAACATCCAGTTTCAGAAAATTTGCTTATGGTATTATGATTGGGTGTCCGAGGACCTAATTGCTAAGTACTAAGGTAGTGTTTAATGCTAAAAGAACATATAATAATGTACAGGGTATCGAGCGCTGATGCAAGACCGCGAGCAGAACAGCTCTGCGGATGTGAGGTATCCAACAAAGAAAAACAAAACACGCCAAAAAACATAAATCACAAGAGAGGAGTCTGCACACATGCAGACTTCTCCCAATCAGCCTTCAGCTGGGCGGCTCTCGCCCCGATGTCTTTGGCAGAGACATCTTTGCAAGACTTCAGCACGACCGACTTCATCTGGCCAACAGTAACCATACTGATCCATTCACCAGCAACCTTTTTATCCGACAGAATCTCAAGACACATCTCCACCTCCTCGCGGGGAAACTCGCTGCGGACAGAGTCACGGACATGCTCGATCATCACATCGAGCTTGAAGGGCTTGCGTTGGGCTGCAAGCATGGCTTTGATGCCATTGCCTACATACCCAGCGGGACGCAACAGGGCTAGAACACCAGCTACCTCTTCCACGCGATCGGCGGCTGCACGTCGCACGAGCTCTTTCTTGGCAGGCGGAGGAGGGAGCTTGGACTGGCGTAGCTCCTTATTCTTGATGCGATCTAGCAGGCCTTGGCGGCGGCTGATCGTTGCCGTCCGCTCCAGGGGAGTCGTTTCTGCTGACTCTGAGAGCATTCTCTCAGCCTTCAAACGGAGCAAACCGCCCTTAAGATCCTGGAGTCGTTGCTGGCCTTTCTGGAAAACCGTGAAAGGGGTGAGCGACTCATGGATAGTGGAGAGACCGAGAGACTCAATGAACAGAGTTGCTTGGTCTTCCTCATTGGCATCCCGAAGTGCCTCTGGGGCCTTCTCCCACAGCAAGTCCAGGGTTTCTTCAAAAGAGTCCTGCAAAGCTGGAGGCTGCACATTGACCTGCACGGTGCGCTCCATGCAGATTTTGCCGAGTCCATAATTCGCCAGACGATATGAAATGTGTTTCGCTTTCGAACTCTGTTCCCAGACCCACACAAGACGCTGCAAGTCCTTCATCTGCACCTTGCGCTTATTCCAGAGGCGCGTCACGCTGCCAAGGAATTCTCGGAGGTCCGCAGGGGTATTTGCGCCATTGTGTGCCATGTGAATTGAAAAAGCCTGCACAAAGGAGGAGTGAAGGTTGAGAATATCGTTGAAGAATGCAGGCCGTTCGATGACTGGGGTTTCCTCGTGCACTGGAATAACCTTCTCGAAGTTCAGGGTTCGTTGCTTCGAAGGGGTCGCTGGTGTCGAGGGCGCGTTCTTGACAGGGGCATTCCGTCGACTCGGGGTCCGACTCGGTGTCTTCGCGGGCGAAGCTTTCTTAGGCGACACATAGTGGCCGCTGCGTGGTGAGGAGACGGATAATTCATTCAGTCGCAAAGTTTTCGAGGGCGTTCCTTCTTCCTCAACTGGGGTCTGTCTGCTGCCGTTGTCGAAGTTTTCGAGTTCCTGCAGTTTGCGTTTCTTGGAAGGCGAGACCGGAAGAGACGTGATCTTCTTTGCAGGCAGTTGCGGAGTAATGCCAGCCTTGGTTGCCCGAGTGAAGGCTTGAATGGCTGGCTGGGCAACGCAGCTTGACCGGGAAGTGCGCGGCATCGCGGCTGCTGAAAATTTTTTGCCGGTCGAGGGATGATAAATGAAGAAAGGGCGATGGATACAACTGTATTATAATAGACAAGGTAAGAGATACCGAGATATTAAAGCGGACAATAGGTGGGAAAAGTGTAGTGGAAGGTGGAAATTGGGAAGTGGGAGATGTCAGAAGGTGCAAGGGAGAAGACGCGTTCGAGGGCGCGTTGAAAAACCTGCACTAGCCTTTTCGGGTTAAATGGCAACGCGTGAGCGGGAACTATAAGAACTTCAGTTCAAGTATGGACTAAGGACTTTTGAAAATGGAGAGAGAAGTCTTGATATAATCAATTCTAGAAAAATTATTCAGTATAAAAAATGACATAGCTCTAAGGGCAATCTCGTCACTACGGTAATACTCCGGCATTGGAATGTCACCGTGTCCAAGCTTAGCGCCTGGACATTTCTTCGGGCGCATAAGATGTCCGATGCTAATGTATAGTCTAAACCCACGTTTACTACTCCATACCTAGAATGAATTGCATGACAATGCATACGGAGTATATTTACTCAGTTTCAGTTCGCGCCCTAGGCAGGCCAACCCATACCGGGCGCATTGAGTACTTGGCATACATTCACTCCAACTATAATGACATTTACATTTACAAGAAACACGGATAAATTTTATGGACATTGAATTCTTCGTAATATTCTCGAACCGACCAGCGCCGTAATATAATCATAACATTAAATCATCGAAGCCCAAGGGTGAAAAGAGCTTATTTCTTGCCACCGAGCCAGCCAGAGACGGCCCCCTTGGCTTCAGCAGCCTTTTGCTCGACTTCGCGATCGATCTGATCAACGCTGGTGTTGACCTTCTCCCGACTGGCATTGAACTTGTTCTTTGCTTCACCGCGGAGCTCCTCGAGCTTGTCCTTGCCCTCTTGGACTTCAGCACGGGTCTTGGCGATCTAGAATTGGATGGTTAGTATGATATGTCACATCTCCACTTTGTGGTTGGTGGGGCAAGGATCGAGGACGGATGCCTGGGTAACACCAAGAATAGAATGGACTTACAGCATCGTCGATATTGGCACCGGCTTCCTTGCCGAAATCCTTGCCGTATTTCTCGGCGTTGTCTGTGCCTGGAAGCTTCTCGCGTGCCTTTTCAGCGTCGACTAAAGTGGGAGAGGAGAGTCAGCTTGGTGTCCCGAGGCAGTTCAATGGTATTGGAATTTGTCAGGGCACGTACTCTTCATTTGGTGCTTCGCCGCTGAGGGGTTGCCGCCCGCAGAGTAAAGGTAGTATCCGCCTGCGCCCGCCGCAGCGAGACCCAGGATCATTGGAACGCGGCTCTTCGACATGATGTGTATGTGTGTGTGTGTGTGTGTGTGTGTGTGTGTGTGGTGGTGTAGTGGTAGGAGGGAAAGATGTAGAGGGTGTAAT